CTGCTTAATATAAACTTCAAATAAATCTTAATCAGTGTTGCTGCTTCTGCCAGGCTCTGTGACACTGCGACAAAGGCCACGACGTTGCTGGTTCCACGGATGCACTGAAGTCCGTGAGATGGCGCAGGTAGAGGGTGGCACTTCCTTCTGGCCAGTGATTGAGGTCAATTGTTAAAGGCTTATGGAGTTTTTATCCAGAGCTCTCTCTCCTTCTAGAACCCAGGCTCCAAGTTGTAGAGAAGTAGGAGGGTAGTGTGTGGATATGGTGGCACAAGAATGGGCCTCTTGGATCTGACCTCATAGTCACTGAGGTGGACCCCAGCTGCTGTGCTCTGAAATCGATTACATTTGCACAGAGGCCACGCTTTACAGAGGCCACGCTTCCCATGGGCTTCCCCCGTGAATGACTGAGCGTGGGAGGTATAGGAAGGTAAACTCACCCCTAGGAGACACAGGACACCTCTCACCAGTGACTCTGACTTGACGTTTCCTAATGGACTTCTACAGTCTAAGATGTAGTCCTACCCAACCTTCCGTTTTTCCTGCCTCTTTCTCTCGCTGTTTGATGGCTCCCTCAGTTTCCCTACTCTTTCTATATATTTTTTTCATGGCCATTTCCCCTAAGATATTTTCCTTTTGCACATTTAGTCCCATCTTGTCATCTGCTTCTCACAGGACTTGGACTAACACAGTGAATTTGTGTTATGTGTAATGGAATGACTATTTAGTCTCCCTGTTGCTGAACAACGTGTATCTCCTTTTTTTTTAAATCCCCACCCGAGGATATTTTTTCCATTGAATTTTTAGAGAGAGTGGAAAGGAGGGAGGTGGGAGAGGCGTCAGGAGGGAGGGGAGAGAGAGATCGATGTGAGAGAGACACATGGACTGGTTGCCTCCCACTCCTCAACCAGGGCTAGGATTGAATCCGCAACTGAAGTGCGACCTTGACCAGGAATCAAACCTGAGATCTTTCTGTCCTTGGGCCAAACACTCTAAGCACCAAGCAAACTGGCCAGGGCAACCACTTGTATCTTCTTGATCACTTCCCTTTAGAGTTTTCTCTCCCAGGTGGCTTCTAAGCCCATTTATTTATTTATTTATTTATTTATTTATTTATTTATTTATTATTTATTTAAATTAGATTTGATGTTGACCTTGACTTCCCCCATTCATGTCTGCCAGGCATAATCACACATGTCTGGGTCTCAGTAGGGGATGTGATGGGACGGAGGCTCGAGCTGAAGCCCTTGCTATACATTGTAGAGCGTCCATTCTTGGCTGGTTTGATGCACAGCTAGAGAAATACAAGAAATACAAGAAACTGTCCCTGCCTTTGAAATGAAAATCCAGTTAGTGGGACAAAAGTCACACACATGCTGCAAGTGGGTAAGACTACAGATAGTAATCATTAGCTTTTCAAAGACATGGACAGAACGTGAAGAAATAGGGTTTCCTCTTTCTCTGGCCTTGTATTCCTGTGTTTGGGATGATAAAAGAGAAGAGCAGAAAGCCGTTTCTTTCTCTCTGAGCAGCTTCCTGAGCAGCTGGACGTGAAGGCGTGAAGGTGAGAAAGGCACCGTATCATCACACTCATTACTGCGATGTGCTAAGAGCCGATCGCCTTTCACGAAGGCCTTGCTGAATTCCCCATTATGTCCCGGACTCGTAGAATTCCTGCACTGACATGAGCTCTTCCTTTTTTGCTTTCCAAAGTAAAGATGGAAATGGGGAATAACTTTAAAAAGCTAGTTTAGCTCCCAGCCAGGCACAAAAGCTCAGCATTGATTGTCAAAGGGTATAATGTTTTACACCTAAGAATATATATGGTGGTAATGGGGGTGGGGGAGATAAATGCCAATTAGATTGTCAATATGAATGTTACTGTAAATGTTGTTTTCTTGACATTTTTGGCCCTTGGCTGAATTCTAGATTAATAGGCATAGAAATAATGTCACTGAATATTTAGTATGTTCTCCTGGTGATGGGCATAACAGCAGCTTGAAAGAAAGTTGATATGGCATAAACTCTGTTAAGTCGTGGGAATTGCTCACAGAAAGGAAAGTACCAGCACAATTAAGTAAGGGCAATTGAACGGGATGAATCTGCTTTGGCACTGAGGCTTGAAATCCTGTTTTCAGTTTCTTATATGAGAGACAATAATGTTGATTTTTTTTTTTAATCAGAAATGGATGCTGGATTTTGTCGAATGCTTTTTCTGCATCTATTGATAGGATATGATTTTTGTCCTTTATTTTGTTTATGTGATGTATCACATTTATTGATTTGCGGATGTTGTACCAGCCTTGCATCCCTGGAATAAATCCCACTTGGTCATGATGTATGATCTTTTTAATGTATTGCTGGATCCGGTTTGCTAGTATCTTTGTGAGGATTTTAGTATCTATGTTCATCAGGGATATTGGCCTGTAATTTTCTTTCTTTGTAGTATCTTTATCTGGTTTTGGGATTAGGATGATGCTGGCCTCATAAAAAGAGTTTGGGAGTTTTCCCTCCTCTTTAATTTTCTGGAATAGTTTGAATAGAATAGGTGTTAATTCTTCTTTGAATGTTTGGTAAAACTCGCCTGTAAATTCACCTGGTCCAGGACTTTTGTTTGCTGGGAGTTTTTTGATGACTGCTTCAATTTCATTAGTTGTTATTGGCCTATTCAGGTTTTCTGCCTCTTCTTGATTCAGCTTTGGAAGGTTGTATGCTTCTAGGAATTTGTCCATTTCCCCCATGTTGTCCAATCTGTTGGCATATAGTTGCTCATAATATTTTCTTACAATGCTTTGTATTTCCGTTGGGTCAGTTGTTATATCGCCTCTTTCATTTCTGATTTTATTTATTTGGGTCCTTTCTCTTTGTTTCTTAGTGAGTCTGGAATTTTTTTTTTTTTAATGGACTGGTAAATACTCTCCCTTAGTCCTCGGAACAGTTGTCAGGTGACTCCGGGTGGCTTGCATACTTTTCTGGAGAGGGTTCGGCTAAACTAACTACAAGCTAAATTCCTAGTATAATTCCACTCTCTCGTGTCATCTCTGGATAAACTGCTAATATGCAGATGCTTCTGAAGTCTCCATCTGGGAATTTGTCAATGTACTGGACACAGTAGTCCCCGGTATAATGTTGGATAAACTTGAACAGGGCAAGCAAATTGAACTGACTCATAAATAAGCGGTAGTATTTTCCCCCCAAGTACATTGAAATTGACCAATTCAACTAAATTGACAGATTGGTGAGGTGTTCTGTGATGTTAATATTTCCCTATTGTAGCTAATGTTTACAATAGTGTAGAGCTGATTCCTATTCCGACATGCACACGATAAATGCTTGTCCCGTAAATCCAATACCAACACAGGGTATAGTATGAATAATTTGATTCTACATGAATGAAAAAAGGGGGTTTTTCAAGTATCAAATTCTTTTATCAAAAATATCTTGGGAATTTGAGATCCTATCTATGCAACCTCCAACATGAATAAAAATGTAACATAAAGGGTTTTTTTCCCTCTTTGTGTGGTGAAGTTAAAGGTAAGTTAAGTTTTCTTTATACTTCTGTATTTTCAAATTTTTTACAATAAACGTATCTTTTAAATTGGACAAAAAATAATTTCGAGTGGTTCAAAAAGGGACAGGTGTGATTTGGTAACTAGGAAAACATTCCTAGCATTTGAAACAACCTGGCGAGGGTTTGGAGGCAAAAGACAGAAATCTGACTACATTCAGAGAGTTTGCCAGATGGCAACAGATAACTGCCTGTGCTCGGTTTGGCTACGATGCTTACACACTATTTGTCACTTCAGCAAGCTATCTTTTTACAAGGCATGTGGCAACAGAATGTTGTTTTAAGATCACCCCTCGCTGGGCTTATTATATTGAAAGGAAGAAACGGAATGGAAAGTCTTTCAGTAATGTCTCTGGGGAATGGGAATTTTGTGTATTCATGCCTTCTGGGAATGCCTTGTTTTGATTGACCTTAATTGGGAATTCAGAGCAGTAATTTACTCTATTATCTACAAAGAAGGGATTCTTCCAACAAACACAATTTGGGGGGTCATGTTAAAAGTGCTTAATTGATGTGCCTTCAAGTCTAGTTAAACATTTTTACCTCCATACATCTGGAATGTTGATCACAAACTTATCTCAAGAGTCTAGTTTTGAACGTTACACGGTTCTATTTCTTTCTGATGTATCTTCTATAACTCATGTTTTTCACTAGTTTTGACCAGTTCTCCTACCTCCAATCTGTCCAAATGACTGAGTTTGCTGCATAAGTTGACTGCTGTATTGGTTTACTGACAGTGATATATAGACCATGGCTCCCGCAGCTGTTTTAGATGAAACTGTATATTAATGTGTAAACTTGCAACATACAGCTTAGCTGGAGAGGTATGCGGAGCAGGTGACTGAGGAGATAGCTTTCACTGCTTGGATTAAAGTCAGTTTTGAAGGAGCTAAAGATGCCTGTTTAATTTTGGTGTGTGTGTGTGTGTGTGTGTGGTTTGGGGTGTGCATGTGCAAGGCAAGAACTCTTCACATTTCAAATAGCTAAAGAAATGGGGAGTAAAATGAAGTCCCATTTTACATCCTCACATGAGTACAGGGGTAGCCAAATGGAGCGCTGGTTTGTTAACAGTTCATCACTCTTGGTTTATGATGTTTTAAAAACGTGTTAAACATATTCATGAAGATGCAAAAGATAAGTTTAAAACCTGCATCAGTTGTAACAAAAGTCAACCGGAAAGAAAAGATTTGAAGTCCCTGGGGTGTTAAAATAAATTGGCAGCCAAAGGAACAGAGTCCTAGTCAACATATTTCCATGTCCACCTAAACACAAATAGCCTCAAACCTTTGGAGGTTGTTCCTTTGAGATGTTTTGTCAGTGACATCACAGTAATTGCCACCTCCCTGGGACTACTTTAGGCCCTGCCCAGAGTCCAGGAGTCCAGACAGCCCAGAAGACAGCAGATTGGAACCTGAGTCAAAGAGAGGGAGGGAGAGAGAGGGAGAGAGGAGAAACCTACCACAGCAGGTATGTCGTTGACCCTCTTCAGGGAACAGCAAAGTTTTTATGCTTAACATATTGTGTGTGTGTGTGTGTGTGTGTCTGTTTGTGTGTGTGCGCTTTTGTGTGTGCGTGTGTGTGTGTGTGTGTACAAGTTGCAAATGAGAAAGACAGAGGAGTAGGCAATGCTTATTGTACATGGTATTTCTTAAGACATAAAGTGAATATTATTGATTCTTGTTTGCCCTTTTTCATCCCATAATACACATTTTTGGTTTTTATTTCATCCATATGGCAATCACTTGGCTCCAAGGAATATTTAAAATAAAGTCAAAATTATCTTTGTGACTTAACAGCAGAAAAATGAAGGTTGCTAGTCTGAATTTCTGCCTAACTTTGGTATTAATGTGAGTGAAAGTTAAGTCAAGTCCACCACCCCTTACAACGAACCCGTGTTGATTGAGTTGGATTCATTAGAAATTCTCACCTTAACTCTGTGTTTTGTTCATTTAAAATATATAAAACAACAAACACTTAAGTTCACCATCAAAGTGCAAGAGAGAATAAGAGGTAAATCCCAGGAAATAAAGAAGTGTGATGGGCAGCCTCTCCACTTTCTGTCATTCATTTATTTTCTTCTGTTTACTTTCTACTTCAATTCAGAGACTACTGAAAAAATGTGAAGAGCGCATAAAATATACAGTTTGACAATAATGATAAAGTAAACACCTATATAACTACCACCCAGATCAAGAACCAGATCGTTGCCAGGGCCCCAGAAATCCATTCCTGGTGACCTCTCCCTTCCGTCCCACCATGTGTAATCACAATCTGGATGGTTGAGATAATCTTGTCCATGCTTCTCTATATTTTTGCCATCTGTGTCTGCCTTCCTAAACAATACAATTAAGCTCTCTGTTTTTGACTTTGGATAAATGGAATCACATTCTATGCTTTTTTTGGTAAATTCTTTTGCCCAACAATTATATTTACGAGATCTGTTCATTTTGCTGAGTATTGTTATAGTTCATATATTTTCTTAACTCCATAGCATTCAGGTATATGAATATATCACAATTCACCATCCATTCTACTGTTGATAAACACTGGAGTTGTTTCCAGCTTGGGGATATCATGAAAAATACTGTGGTGGACGTCCTTGTATAAGCATCCTGGCTTGTGTGTGCTTGAGTTTCTAGAGTAGAAGTGAAATTATTGGATAATAGGGAACTATCAACTTTAATATAAAATGTCGAATTGTTTCCTCAAAGTGGTTGAAAATTTACACTAACTTTGCTTAGCCAGGGAAGTTAATTGCAGTAGCAACTCATTCTTGTAGTTACCCCTATGGAGTAATCACAATTCTAGCAACTAGTTCCAATCTGCCAGTTTCTACCTCTGCCTCTAACTTACTGTGTGTCATTACACAACTTAACCTCTCTTTAAAAGTCAATTTCTTAACTGTAATCTAAGAGGTAAAAATCACAATACTTGCCTGAGTTGTTGAGAGGGTCACAGAGTTGTGAAGGTCACATGACCAAAGCTGTGGACAACTTTCAATAACATTTTCCCAGTAAGTTCCTGTTGGGCCACTCTCCATGATTCTCTCTCTCTCTCTTTTTAAAAAATATATCTTTATTGATATATAGACAGAAAGGGTGAGGGAGAGATAGATAGAAACATCAATGATGAGAGAGTCATTGATCAGGCCCGCAACCCGGGCATGTGCCCTGACCGGGAATCAAACCCCCATCGCCTGGATCCTAGGTCGACGCTCAACCGCTGAGCCATGCCTGGCTAGGCTCCATGATTCTCTTTATTTGAGCTTAATCTAAAGCAGGTTTGGTGGGACAGTTATTTTGCCCTCCCTGAATTGTTTTGATCATTAGAAACAGTCTCATATTTTTGCTTATCTCTATATTTCTTCAGAACTTACCCACATGAGTGGGCATTTGGATCAGGATTTGATTTTATTAATAAATTCATAAGGAAAAGTCTGTCTTTGATTCTCACGCCTTTGCCTCCAGGCTCCTGCTTGGATTCGTCACCTTCCTGTTCCCCTCTTCTCTTGTGTATGGTTTTACACGTTCTTTCTACTTTCTGTATCCATTTATTTTCTTCTGTTTACTTCCTACTTCAGGCAAGTCTTTATATAAAGATTTTCATTGGCAATTTATTATGTCTTTCATGTGGAGGGCCAAAAGATGGGTAAGCATTAAAAGGAAACAACAAACCAACCAACCAACCAACCATAAATCAATCATCACTGGCCATATTTTAAACCAAGATTCAACAACCTACTGGTTGACACCATCTGATTTGAACTTGTGTGTTATACTAACAATGAAATAATGTAAAAAATGATCATTCAGCTGGTTTATACAATTAATAATTTGATCCACTAATAATAAAACAAATACAGTAATTACAATGAATAACTCAGTCAAATTAGATGGTTAAAAACACTAGTCGGGTCAAAAGCTTGCTAACAACACTTTCTACCCTCTGAACTCTCACTCTTAGCAAATAACATCCTTTCTCCTTAAACTTTTTCACTCTATAGAAAACTTTTGTCCTAAGTACCTAAGATATTATCTTTCACCTTTAATTTTAGTTGTTTGCATACACAAAGTGTCAATCATGTTGCGTCACTGAAGGTAACATTTTTTTTTTTTAAATCCTTACCTTAGGATATTTTTCCATTGCTTTTCAGAGAGAGTGGAAGGGAGAGAGAGAGAGAGAGAGAGAGAGACATCGATTTGAGAGAGACACCTTGATCGGTTGCCTCCCGCAGGCACCCCGACTGAGGCCGGGGATCGAGCCTGCAACCAAGGTACATGCCCTTGACCGGAATTGAACCCGAGACTCTTCAGTCTGAGGGCCGATGCTCTAACCACTGAGCAAAACCGTCTGGAGTGAGGGTAACAAACATTTTGACTGACTGCATTGCATATGTTCTCAAAGTACCATTTCCTAAGTGTACTATATGTACAAACTATAAAGCTACCGTTCCTGCTCTCTGAAGTGTTTACAATCTAGGCACATCCCAGACCTGACTAAAAATAGCTGGCACAAGCCCTTGTTGAAACAGAAGTAGCCATGAGGTTAACACTTGCTCTTGGATTGAGTGCCTGTTGTGTGAGGGACTTTGGGTTGACTCCGACAGGCTCTGTGCCCAATGCAGTGCTTATAAAAGGCCAAGCAGATGTTGAAACTATCTCGTGCTTTCGACAAGGTTGGATAAAGCCCTGTAGCAGCCTGAAACCTGCAAAATTAAGGTATCTTACTTCTATGTGTAATTCAAAGAGAGAACAACACTAAAACAACCTTTTTTTCTGTTTTGGTGATTGGGCTGGCTGGCACTCTAAGTTAGCAAAGCAAGCACACACCCGTATACTCACAAACACAGAAATTGAAGAGAGAAAATGTAATATTTTTTTATTTCATCAAAAGTATCAATGCAATTATTATAGGGGAAAAAATCAGGACTATATTGGTCTTTCTGACATCAGGCAGAAAAGGCAATCTGTCTGTATTAGTCAGGATTCTTTAGAGCAACAGAACCAATAGGATAGGGTGTCCCCCAAAAATGTATACACACACTTTGAATAATTATAAAGGCAGTGTTTATTAAAATATATTTCATTTTCAAAATTGAGCTATCAGCTGTTAAAGTGTATATACATTTTTGGGGGGACACCCTGTATGTATAAAATTGGCTCAAGTGATTGTGGAGACTGGCAAGTCCAAAATTTGCAGGATAGGCCGGCAGGCTGGGGACCCAAGGAAGAGTTTTGGTTATAGTCCAAAGATATAGTCTAGAGGCTAGAAGTCTGAGATCAAGGTATTGAAGAGTTGATTTCTTCTGAGGCCTTTGTCCTTGGCTTGCAGATGACTGTCTTCTCCCTGAGTTCACACGGTTTTCCTTCTGTGTATGTCTATGTCCTAATCTCCTCTTCTGACAAGGACATCTGTCATATTGGATTAGGGCCTATCTTAATGACTTCATTTTAACTTAATTACCTCTTGAAAGACCCCATCTCCAAATACAGTCATCTTCTGAGATATTGGGGGTTAGGGTTTCAACATATGAATTTTGAGGGGACACAGTTCAGGCCATCACACTGCCCTCTTCCACAGTGCTGGTTTCCTTTGAGGAAGGAATGATCACTGATCTTCCATTGTTTTCTTTGTCACTTTCTGTTAGGAGGTGAGGACAAGCAGAAGGTCTTTTGCGTGTCCACAGAAGTCTGCCTTGGGTTCTCACTGAGCCGCTCCGAGAATGGATCTATCCCCCCGGGACCTGTGTCTCAACTTCACCATTGTCCTGGTCACGGTTCTCCTCATGTGGCTCCTCGTGAGGTCCTATCAGTCCTGAGGCGGCATGCCACTGTCCCGCTCTCCGGGGATTGACTGCAACGCTCCAGAGCTGCCTGCTGTATGTCCTGAGGTCCCACTGTGTAATGGGATGCCTGTCTTGGCACCCGAAGGCACTTCTGACCTGCACACACCATATCTGAGGTGCCTCCCGTGTTAGGATCAATTGTGTGTTCTCTAGAGATGCTGCTCTCAAGGGCTGCCAAGTGTCTGCCAGTGAATGTTAGATTTATTACCCAACTCTTACCGCAAATGTGTTAGATAAGCCACGAGGTTAACATGAAACTGCATTCATGATGACATAGAATTGTAAAAAACCCCTAACCTGTCTCACCGCACGTCCCTTCAACCCGCACTGTCTGCAACCAAACTTTAAATCATCCTGCCGGAAGAAAGAAATGTTGGAGACAGGCTCTGTCAGCCCCGGCCGCAGCTATCATGTGAATAAAGTTAAGTCAACCACAAAAACGGCTTTCAGAATCTGTTTTAGCTTCTATTTGGGATGCTGCGCTTGACCCTTGGCTGGGATTGAAGCGACACATGTTATAGTATTTCTAGCATTTGAGCTAAGCCAAGTTACTCCAACTGTGGAGGATTTGAAACCAAGTCAATTAAGAGTCACATTTCAGCTAATTCCATCGGCTCAGGGCTCCTCGAACTTTCTGTCTAAACTAGTCCCAAGGGCAGGCGGAGAACAAATCCATTGCTCTAGGAGGCCGGGGGCAGAGGCTGAAGTGTCCTAAAAGCACGACATTTCTTTGAAGTCTTGTGTGTTATCCTTAAAATTCACAAGAAATCAATACTCTATCCTATAATATCCCCATATTTGCTTTAATATAAATATTTAAAATTATTTACCCCTGAGTAAAAGTAGCATACGAGTCATGTTCCACGTTTGATGGCTCCAGTTTGGTTATCCTAGTCATTAATAAACTACAGTTATAACAAGGGAGAATACAGAAAATACAAATTTATACAAATGTTTATGAAAGGGACATGTGAAATAGGCATTCCTTAAACACGTTGCTAGGACACTCCACACAGACAGGCCAAATCCATTCCCTGTGCCAATTCTGAGGTGACCATGGAGAAAGGGGATGCTGTTAAACGTCACCTGTCATTGCACCCCTCATGAAGGTATTCCTATCACTGCGGCGTAGCCTACCTGGCATTGTGCTTCTCAACCCTGGCTGCACAGTTTGTGCGCTCAGGGGTGATTTTTCAAAATATTTATGCTCGGTGCCACTCAGACCAATTAAATAAAAACTAAGGGGGGAGAGTCCAGCATCTGCATTTTTCTGAAGCTCTCCAGATGGCCCAGGTGAGTGGCTCCGCTGGCTGGGCATTGTCCCATACACCAAAAAGGTTGTAGGTTCCTGGTCAGGGTACATTCCTGGGTTGTGGGTGTGATCCCCAGTAGGGGCGTGTGCAGGAGGCAGCCGATTGATGTTTCTCTCACGCATTGTTATCTCTCTCACTTTCTCTCTCTAAAGTCAATCATATATATCAACATATCTATATAATTGGATATCTATATAATTGGATATATACATACACATATACACATATATACATATGTCCATATATATATACACATACATACATATATATATATATATCCATATCCCTGGCCAGTATGGCTCAGTTGGTTGGGCATCATCTCATGTACAGAAAGGTTGCTGGTTCGATTCCCAGTCAGGGCACATGCCTGGGTTTTGGGCTCGATCCCTGGTAGGGGGTGTGCAGGAAGCAGCAGATAGATGTTTTGCCCCCATGTCGAAGTTTCTCTCTCTTTCTCCCTCTCCCTTCCTCTCTCTCTAAAAATCAATTAAAAAATATTAATACCTATCTATCATCTATCTATCTATCTATCTATCTATCTATCTATCTATCTATCTATCTATTATCTATCTATCTATCTATCTATCTATCTATCATCATCATCATCTATCTATCTATCATCTATCTATCTATCTATCTATCTATCTATCTATCTATCTATTATCTATCTATCTATCTATCTATCTATCATCTATCATCTATCTATCTAATCTATTCTCAGGTGAGGATTAAAAAAGACACAAAAGTCTCCTAGATTTTTGTATTGTGTAGTCAGAGTTGAGAGTCACTGATACCTGCCAGTACTTCTCAACTTTGATGTGATTATGAATCACTAGGAGGCCTCTTTTAAGTGAAGATTCTAATTCAATTCTGATTCTGATTCAGTCTGGACTGGGGCCCTGAGATTCTGCATTTTATTTTTATTTACTTATTATTATTATTTTTTTATCCTCACCTGAGGATATATTTTTTCCATTGCTTTTCAGAGAGAGTGGAAGGGAGAAAGAGAGAGAAACATCGATGTGAGGGAGACACATCAATTGGTTGCCTCCCGCATGCACCCCTACTCAGGGCCAGGGGATCAAGCCTGCAACCGAGGTACATGCCCTTGGTCGGAATTGAACCTGGGACCCTTCAGTCTGTGAGCCAATGCTCTAACCACTCAGCCCAATCAGCTAGGGCATGAGATTCTATGTTTTAAACAAGCTCCTACACGATGCCAGTGGAATGGTCCATGGTCTACACATGGATTATTAGCACATTAGAACCACCTGGAATTCTTAGAAACCCAAGCTGGAGCCCTAGTCCCACGAGTTTCTAATTGAATTGATGTGGGGTGAATATGAGCATTATTCTTTTTTGCAAGGACTCCAAGTGAGTCTAATGTGTAGTTAGAATTAAGAACCCTGATATAGTTAAGGGAAAAAGGGTTGTTATTTTGAGGGGTTTCCAGCCAAAGTTGGGAAATGGCAGTGTATGGTCTTTAGCGTCCTGTTCCTAGTTTCAGAGTCAGACTACACACATGGATGTGCTATTGTTAATGATTTAGTGTGCAGCACACCTACTCATAGGCATGTGGCTCTAGGACTCATGGCAGATGGTTACTTTTAAGTGCAGTCTTTTCATTACTCAGAAAACAAAGCAAACAGACAACAACCCTCAGAGAATCTACCGATGTTGGAGAAAATATGTGTATAATGGTAGGGAAGGGAATGAACAAAACAAGCGATGTTCCTTTCACCTATGTTTGAGTCCTGGTGCCAACATTTATAACAGGTATCATTTATTGAATATACGGCATATGAAGCCCTGTACTGGGTGCTTTCCGTAAGTTGTGCCATTTAGCAGATATGAGAACTGAGGATCATAGGCCTCACCTACATAATCAGATGTAGTGGTGAAGCCAGAATAGCAAAAGTATCATCTTAATCTCCGTGGGGGACTGCAGACCATTTGATTATACATTTTTACCCTCACATTCTTCAACATTCTAAAATAGCCGAATTAAAGGTAACAGTTGTAATTCTCTGTGTAATTTCTCTTTGCTTGTCAGTCCCCACCTCCTTTCTCTTCCTAGTTTCCTTTGATGAGACGTACTGATAGGACCCTTTTACAGACTACATTTTGAGTCACCTTTTCAGGTAGGACATCCATTAACCATCTCAGTTGTGTGGTTAGCAATGCTGCCTAATTTCTTCCACATTCAGGGGTGCTAGTCATTATGGCTAAATTCCAATCCGACCTATAAATCTCCTTTTATGTATAACCTTCCCTGGGACCTCAGGCAAAGGTCAGAGAACATGACAAACTCAGACTTCAAGATTCTGACTGCATCTGTCTGATTCCCAAGTTGGACCACTTCTGGGATCCCTCACTGTCAGGTCTCACTCACTGGAAGGGATCTCTCGCCATCAACAATCAACCAAGCAACGTTTGAGCTCTCATAGAGCTTACACACTGGGCCTTGAACACCTAGCCACCTTCATCCATAGCAGCCAGGTCGGTTCTCCCCACTTACCATGTCTCTGTGGAGTGACGGTCTCTTTTTTGCCATAAGCCCTGGGCTGCCAAGATCCCAGCACATCTTAAAGTTGAACTCCTCATAACACGATGTCAACAAAATATTTGAATTTTAAAAAGAGGTTACCTTGTAGTTTTGGCTTCAGCTTTTCTCCCAGTCTCTCCTAAACTCACTACTAAATTGGGCATCCTTTGGAACATCTTATTTTTATCTATTTTCTTACACTGAGAAAACACAAGGTTTGATCAGTTTCGGGCAGCCCCAACACCATATCTGGTCACCAACTCCTCTCCCAAGGACTGCCGTAGAGTTGGTCTTAGAAGCATAAAAAATTATCCAGGTAGTTCAGGCCCAAGCCATGGCTCTAAGAAAAGAGCCCCAAAGTACTTCAACCTGCTCAGTTCCTGTAACCACATTGCTCCATTGACCCAGACAAGGGTGTGTGAACATTGTCATAATATGGCGGTGCTTCCAGTCTTCTCTTTTAATTTGGGGTTGTCAGACAATCTGGAAGGCATCTCAAGGGGATATCCCTCCTTCCACTTCTATTATTTTCTTATTGCATAGCTGTGACTCTTGCTCCTCTGAGAAGGAGTTCTTTCTGCCATTCTCACCTGTCTCCACAGCCATTTGGGCACATGATCCATGCACAGTCTTTGAATTCACAGACTGTATTTTGCTGACCCATATGTCACCTCAGACAAGTTAGTAAAAGTTTGTGAGCCACAATTTCCTTCATTTAAAAATAGAGAATAATCCTTTCTTTGCAGGAAGAAAGTTAGATAGATTAGAAATTATTTGGATATCCTGTGTTTTTAGTAAATTAGTAAATACTCAATAAATGGTGGTTGATATTATTAAAACATAAGTAAAGTGTTTACAATGGATGAGACATAACAGGCCCTAAAAAAGTGTTAAGAATTGTTGGTAGGTAATGTTGCTGCTGCTGTTTCAATGCTATCTCTTTTAAGAGGGAAACTAAAACTCTGTGAAAACTGAGGATTCCTTTTTTTTGAAAGCAAGGGAAAGGGACAGTAGAACCACAGATTTTTTACTCCCAAGGAGGACAGTGAATTTCTTTATTTTCTTTTCTTTTTTTACAATCCTCATCTGAGGATATTTTCTCAGAGAGAGTGGAAAGGAGAAAGAGAGAAACATCTGTGCGAGAGAGACAGACACATGGACTGGGTGCCTCCCACATGCGCCCTTGACCTGAATTGAACCCAGGACCCTTCAGTCTGAGCGCTGACTCTCCAGCCCCTGAGCCAAATTGGCTAGGGCTCTTTTTTCTATTCTTTTTTAAAAAAATATGTCTTTATTGATTTCAGAGAGAGGAAGGGAGAGGGAGAGAGAGAGAAACATCAATGATGAGAGTCATTGATCCGCTGCCTCCTGCACACCCCTCATTGGGGCTCAAGCTCGCAACCCTGGCATGTGCCCTGGTTCATAGGTCGAAGCTCAACCACTGAGCCATGCCAGCCAGGTGAGGACAGTGTATTTCTCAAAATGTAGGGGTCGCTTGAATTACAACATTTAAAGTATTTATTCAATTGTGGGTTCCTGTCCCAACCACAGACCTACTGGAATGGAATCTCTCTAAGAGGGG